TCAAAAAAAGATGGCGGCACCCAGTTGACGCCGGTACCGGGCCGCGGCGCCCAGCTGATGCCGGAACCGGGCCGCGGCGTCGAAAAGGTTGGGGATCACTGCTTTAGGTTACCTACCTGGCATGTAGAAGGCTCCAGGGTAGACAGTGCTGGGAGGCTTGGAAGGTGCGTAGTTGGCTGAGTCCCTGCTGTATTCATCACCTGAGCTGGGTGGATACACCTGGGAGGAAAACAGGCAGAATTTAACTTTTTCCAAGTTACGTTTCCAGTGGCTGGCTGGGGAATTCTGGGAGTTGAGGTCCACATGAAGTCACAAAAGTTGGGAAACCTTGATTTAAAGTGCTTTATATTCCATCATTCTTTTTTCACGAAAGTTGAAGAATGAGACGGTTATAAATTCAAGAGACCCTTTCCCTATGCTGAAAATGAGCATCACATTTTAAAAAGTGTGTTGGGATGTATGCACCACGTTCATAGTTTTTAAATGTTTTTCTTTCTGTTGTTTCATTAATAAAATTTATTTTAAAAAATGAAAAGAGATCTTCCTTACATATGAAAGCATATTTTTTTAAAAAAGGAATCGTGTTAGGACTGATGAGCAGATTTATAGCCAACTGCTTGTTGATCCAGCCTGACAGATTAAGCTTCCTGCAGGTATTTTAGAACTCTTGCTTCCCATCATCTCCATCCATCAGCCATGAAGTCTCAACAAACCTAGGATAATTCCCAGTTGAGAAAGGTGGCTTAAGCTGACAGATAACTTGGTAAACACAGAACTGTATATTTGCTCTCTGCTCCCTGTTATCAACTGATCCACTGAAAAGAAAATACTCTCTCCCAAACATATGGATCATTCATTCCTCATCATTAGAGTCACCTCCCCCTTTATTTAAAATACAATGCGAGATTTATATATAAAAAATATTATCAAGTTATAATCAATCAGTACTCTGTACTGGACGGCCCGATAGCATTAACAGAGCCATTATTATATTTTTTCACCATGCTAATTTTTATTCCGGATTTTCATCGTTTTCCTTCTAAAATTAAAATTCAAATGTTAAAATCACCCCTCATCATTATAGTCACCCCCCCCCCTTTACTTATAATACAATGTGGAATTTATATGTAAAAAATATTATCATTTATGGTTAATCAGTACTCTGTACTGGACGTCAGAAGTCCCTCAGAGTGAAACACTCACTGGCTGTGGGTTAAGCAATGAGAACGATGCAGCTTGATTCTGCCTTTACTCAAGGCACAATATAGGTAGTCCTTGACTTATGACCACAGCGGAGCTCCACATTTCCATTGCTGAGCAAGACAGTGGTCAAATGAGTCCCCATTTTACGATCTTTCTTGGCACGGTTGTTAAGAGAAGCACCGCAGTTGAAAAATTAGTAACGTGATGGTTATGCAAATCTGGCTTCCCCAGATTTGTCAGAAGGTGACAGAAAGTGATGCCACAACCCCTGGGACTCTGCAACCATCATAAATGCATGCCAGGTGCCGATTTTGATCATGTCACCTTGGGGACAGCCGCAATGGGCATGCGGGAAAAAAAAATCATGTCATTTTTTTTCAGTGCCGTTGTAACTTTGAACGGTTAAATGAATGATCGTAAGTCAAGGACTTCCTGCCCATAATGTGTGGTGGATTTTTTTTTTTTTTGGCTTTACAAGCTAATGGAAACACAGAGAGCTGTGTGAACCCAGCCAGTTGTGAATTATTCAATAAAGTCCAATGGAAGCAATCTATTAGCATTTATGAGGATGGGCTTTCCGATGAGAACTTAAGTCATCTCCATCAATGCAACCAACCCCATGTTGAGTTGACACTTGGGCAACATCGCAAAACATTTCCATAAAACTTCACAAAGGCCTATTGGGAGATCTTGCTGACTCTTAACGACACAACACAGCGTAGGTTACTCCCAACAAGCTACTGGGGCATAATTTATCAACCCAACAACAATGGAGAAATACAAGCTTCACCACTTTCATTGCCACAGTAGAGACTCAAGCATGAGTTCATACATGTTTCCTTCTGATTTTCTTCCAATGCTTCATGTCTCTTTTTTGCTAGTTCATCTCCAGAGGTTCCTCGGGATGAGGAAACAGAACACCTTAAAAGCACTGTGGTCACTTCCATATTCCAGAGCTGGACCAGGTGCTTAGACCTCTCTCCCAAATTGCCAGGAACTCCCCAGCACCTGTGGGGATCTACTCAGATCCATCCACCCAGAGGCAAGCCAACTTTCAATGGATCCTTCTATCCTGCTGGAGTTGGGGATAGCGACTAATCTTAGGCTAACCAGAAAGGGATCCAGCCAACGCAAGACTCCCTGAAATGCCCTCAAAATTCAGATCATACACCAACTGCTCTGAGAAGACAATATCCAAAGTATGACCAAAGGTTACCTGCGATAAGTTCATGGCTGTTATGGGGAATATTTCCTAAGTTTTCTCAGGATCTCACCTAAAGGCATGGGATTAAGCCCCCTCCCCAACACTTTAAATCAGGAAACTCCAAACCCAGCCTTGAATTAAGGCTCAGGAGTTGAGGAAAGGTGGATGTTATCCTCTACAGCAGGGGTGTCCAACCTTGGCAATTTAAAGAGTGGACTTCAACTCCCAGAACTGGCTGAGGAATTCTGGGAGTTGAAGTCCACCAGTCTTACTTACAGATGCCAAGGTTGGACACCCCTGTTCTATAGGCAGAATCTCTACAGCATAGGGGCGTCAAACTGGCAGCCCATGGGCCGGATGTGTCATGTGCAAGCCACGCCCACCCCAGAAACATCACATGATGGCAACATGACACAGTGAGTTTGACACCTGTGCCCTAAGCAGGTCTCTCCAGTCCACATTTGGGCAATCACAACCCACCCCCTCCAAAGCAGTCACCAAACTTCTTTTGAAGAGTATCACCACTCTTCCACCCCACTTTGGGATTATAGCTGATGCAAGACCCAAACGCAAAGTGGCTAAAACTTTGAGAGCGCTGTTGCCCTCATCCAATCAGGTTTGAGTAAGGATCTCTCAACTCAACTCTCTTTTTGACCTCATTGGCAAGAGTGAGTCTATCAGCGGTTCCCATCAACGTCACTCTGAGGATCATTGGAGCTCGAGTCCTCCCACCACGTCAAGGTAATTGCCTGCTGGTATCGGTTCTACTAATAGCTTCCCATCCAGCTTTAACTACCAAAATATACAAATGCCTAAAGCAGAGGTCTCCAAACTTGGCAACTTTAAGACTTGTGGACTTCAACTCCCAGAATTCCTCAGCCAGCAAATCTGGCTGAGGAATTCTGGGAGTTGAAGTCCACAAGTCTTAAAGTTGCCAAGTTAGGGGACCCTTGGCCTAAAGACAAAGCTGAGGACACCAACCATTAGTGGGAAATGCTGTTTCCTGTTTCATAGTTCAACTTTCTAGTCCTCAAGGATAGAGAGAGGCTTGCAAGTTCCCAGTTGATGGGAAACTACATTTCTGTATCTTCCTGCCGAAGGGGAAAAAACTCACAGCACCCTCCTTGGATACTGGATCTCAGGTCAAAACAAACATTATCTCCCTTCCGCATCAAAATTTTGCAAGATGATGTTCTTTGTTTAATCTCTTGGTTCTGGATGGTTTAAGGAGTGGCACACCTCTGTAACAGGGTGTCTCCCCTGTTTTGGGTGCTGCTGGATCTATGGGTTTGGGAGAGATTTTATCAACGTTGAGCTACAATTATAATTTTTAAACTCTGAATGGTAAAAAGCTGAAGACATTTTAAACGTATGTTTCATTTGCACATGCAGGCAAATATAAGGGGGTAAATGGCAAAGTCTAACTTTTGTTGGTGTAAACGCTGGAATTCCCCTTTTCAGAGGAGAGGGCAGGAGCAGCCCCACGGACCAGGAATAGTACCACACATGGTACAGCTGGCTACGATCTGTGTAAGAGGTGGGTTTTGGTGGCTAGAAGCCAATCAACATTTTTTGGGAAGGCAAGGGCTGTGAGTGGGCAGGACCAGTGATGCAAGAGAGGCAGGTCAAAACTTTGTGCTGTTTTTTCCCCTCTGGGTTCTCTCCCTCTGTGTGTGTGTGTGTGTGTGTGTGTGTGTGTGTGTGCACGCGTGTGTGTGCGCATGAGTCTTTGTTTAGCTGGGTTCAATCTATTTTAAGCTTTTGTGCTTTGAACAATTCAAAATGGAAGGAACTCAGGATGTCAATTTTTGGCAGTGCCGGTTGCAGCCGACCTCAGCAAAGGCAGAAAAAGAAACAAGAGTGGTTACAGGTAGTCCTCAACTTAAAGCCCTTCGTTTAGTGACTATTTAAAGGTACAACGGCACTAAAAAAAAACCAAAAAACTATTGCAGCATCCCCGTGTGATAAAAACGTGGGCACTTGGCAACCGGCATGTAATAATGATGGGCTGCCGTATCTTGCAGCCACGTGATCACCGTTTGTGACTCTCCCAGCCAGCTTCCTTTCAACGGGGAAAGCCGGATTTACTTAATGACCGTGTATTCACATAACTGCAGTGATTCACTTAACAACCATGGCAAAAGGGTCATAAAAATTGGGTGTGACTTACTTAACAGCCACCTTGTTTAGCAATAGAAATTCTGGTTCCAACTGTTGGGCATAAGTCAAAGGTAGGGTGTTACACACAAACTTAGCTCTGATTGCCAGGTAAGAGCTGGCAATTGCGGTCTTCACAAAAAGACTAGCAAAGGAGCACCTTGTGTGTGTGTGGTGGGGGGGAAAGGAGGAACAAAGATTAGATTAGTTTTAGTTCTGATTCTGATTCTGGAAACAGCAAAGACAGCTTTGTGGTGGCTTTGTGTGTGTGTAGAGGTGGTTTTAAAAAAATTAGACCTCTGAAGATCTCCAACACACCATTATGAGGAACTAGTAACTATCAACACTCAAGCTTAGCAGGAGTACCTACTTGATTCCTTCTTTCCCTGAAGGATTTAAAATGGCAGCTAAAAAAAAACCTTGAAAATTCAGGAGAGACATTCTTGCCTGGATGAAATGGCCAAGCAGTTAAGGCAAGATCCAAATCGCATCGTTTAAAACAAATACTGTAACTTGTCTTCTCAGAACAGAGTTAAGCCTGTGCTGAAATGGCAAGTGAAAGGCAAAGGCTTTGGTTGGCTGGGAGGCACAGTCAAAAATACTCAGCATCAAGAGATTTAGAAGGGGGGGGGGGGATGGAGAGGAAGAGACTGAG